AGTTGACACGGAACACGGCTGGTTCCTTTATGCTTTGGAGAGCCTGGGTGGTCCCACTCCAAACAACCACTCACAAAAAGTAAAGGTTCGAAAGTATAGGCTTAATTAGAACTAAATAAACAAACAATTCTAAATTAAGAAGAGAAAACGTCATTGGTTCAAAATGTTTAAATATAACCTGTTACAGTACAACTGTGTACTTCCAAGTGAAGTAAAACTCCATCCAACATTCCTGCATTTAATTCTGGAGTTTTCCACAGTTTGACTTTGTATTGTGTTTGTCAGTTTTAGGGCCTTTTTATCCAGGTGTCTGTTTGCAGTGACAGAAAAATATCCCACAATGCTCACTCTTTGAACAACACCATGTGTTCATCGGCTCAATATTTTTATTTTGTATTATCACAGCAGCCAAAGTTTAACGGCATGACGGAGACGGGCAGTGAATGTCTTGTCATCAACAAACAAGTCTTAAATTATGTACATAATCTTTGAATCAGTTACATATGGGGAGCACATGTTGGCTAATGTCTTACTTACACCATGTTAAGTCATGACCCGGCTATTATAATAAAAAACCTTTAATGTCCTAGAAACAGATGGTTACTTTTTTACTTTTTTACTCTTTACAGTCTATCTAACATTTTTTTAAGCATCAAATGAACCTTAAAATAGGTCTGTGGTCCAATCAATTTTCTGCTCATTGTTCTAATGAGTTTAACCATTACTTCTCTGAACTAAAGTAATGGTTAAACTGTTGACAGATGTTCAACTACAGTATATGTACTGACAAAGTATTGAGTTCCCTCTTTGGAAATACACTTATAGGCTAATTAAACCTTGATTGCAAGTGCAACATCCGCAGTGATAATTCTTAAATAATGCTCTCATTAACTACTTCAATAATCAGTTAATAATACTTTAAGATTAACATTTTGTTTAAATCAGAAAGATCAACAGATGAAAAACATTCAGACTTTTTTTCATTTTCCTTTTTTTAAAATGTTGGTGTATAAGAAAGAAAATTTTTTTACTTAAGTTTTACAAACACTTCCAAAACTCCATCCATAGGGGAACCATCCAAAACAGGAAGTCCAGATACAATTTTTTTTCTTCCAACACACCAAGTAATTTTTCTGCAGCACCCTCTGTAAAAAGGGATATTGTCGATCCCCTCCAAAACAGGAAGTCCAGATACAATTTCTTTTTCTTCCAACACACCAACTAATTTTTCTGCAGCACCCTCCATCTGTTAAAAGGGATATTGTCGATCTCTGCAAGTCAACATATTAATTCTATTGGTTCAAAACTTAAATTGAAATTCATACCTAACTGCTTTTTTCAACAATGTAAATACAGTTACAAATCAGAGCAATTAAGAAAACATTGAAAGTAAAACGTCCAGCCCCTGTGGCAACAGTTCAACATCCCCAACTTTGAGAAACCACTGATGTGTGGTGTGATCAGTAATGTCCTAGCTCTCTTTCCTATCTTTAAAGATAGTTTAACTGATCATGATGGAGAAGTCGTTTCATTAAAATATTGTACAGTTGATTTGATTAAGTAATTTTATTTTAAAAAATGTATAAAAACAACATCATGTCAACCTTCTGAAACCATGTGAGTTCTAGTATAAATAGACCAGAGGACGGCTGGGGTCTGACAAACAAACACATACAGTAAACCACAGCCATTCACTGATCACGGTCAGGGATGAATCCATGTCCCAGGAATGACACTAACCAATATAACAGTCATGTTGCCTGGGTCCACAGTGCATGTGGTATGAACCAGACCACGGATGACTCAGCCCAGTGAACACAGGAGGTATTCTAATCCTTTACGGTCCAGGGCTAACAGCAACCACGAACCACAAAAAAATGATTGGCCCGAACTACCACATTACATGTTCCTGTGATTTTAATAGACCCTCTCTTCCTAAAAGTTTTTTTTCTTGGCAGCCTTCCGAGTCCATGTGCCTTAAAGATAAATATTTGATTACTTTTGGTTAAATGAATATGTACACATTATTTCAATCATCAGAAATCCGTAAAAAGACGAAGGAGTTTCACTTTTGGGCAGGACCAGCTCGAGCGCCGAAAGCTGAGCAATTATGTCATCGTCTAATCTAAGGATGAGTGCGAAGGTCCTCTATCTAGATATTGTTTTCAGATACAAAGACAAGATAAGTACCAACAGCTACGTGCCTTAAGGTACCTCGAATATCATAGTGGCATGGAATAAAAATAGTCGGAGCAGGTATGTTGGCCTTTTAATGCCCTTTACGGCAATCACGTACTAACACACACACACACACACACACATTTCCACTTGTGAAAACTCCCTTCTCCTTCCCGGCTATAGCTTTCATGATGTAACTGATAGTGCCAACAAATAAACACTGAGTGCATTCACCTTGGTTTTGACATTGAGATTACAATTACATAACAGGAAGCACTCAGAACAGAATAACAGAGTGCGGCAGACAGTTGTCTTCAAAAGGGCAGAGCTCACTGAAGGGAGACAAGCTGCCTAATTCTAATCCTGTTTGACAAGGAGCCTGTCAGTATCATTGACATACTTGAGGGGGAATGAAGGGGTGGTGAGGGGCTTCACCAAAAAAAGGACACTAACACACACAACTCCACAGCATACTCTGATTTAAATTCATGCAATACTCAGTTTGACAACGGCTCACCTTTGCACCGTTGACGTGAGACTGTAGTAATCTATGGTCTGAAGCTGGACCCATCAACACACAGGCATTTTTAAATAGCCTTTCCAGCAGCCCCCGACCACCACCCCCCCACTTCTCCTGAGCTCAGGACTCAACAGATAAACCCCACTTGGAATTTATGTGGCCCAAAGTCCCAGATAGTTATTACAGAGCCACTGTGGTATTCTCAAGTTTCTTTCTAATGGTCTGTTTAAGGACAGCTTCATATGCGACCGCCGTCCACATGGTACATAATGTCCCGCACACCGTGTCTCACATCAGGACAAATCCAGAGTGAAAGCACAGGACGTTCAGCACGTCTCCTCATTTGAACGACGGCAGTTATCAACAGCAGTTGGTTTGAGTACAGCAAAAACTTAATTTAATTTTTTAGATTAAACACAAACAACAGCTAGAGTCAAAAGTGTATTTAATCCCTTTGTTGACCCTGAGGTCATTCTGACCCCAAACATTTTGTAGCCATACTATGTTGTTAACAAGGCTTACTGACCCCAAATGGGCTAAAATGGGCTTACTGATTTTGTAACCCTTAATAAAAAATAAAAAACTTAAAGGTTGTTCTGTTGAAAAAAGACTTTGACTAGACATGATCGAGGAATTGTGGGAGTCTAAGCCACAATGCTGCCAGAGGAATTTCAAATGAGCATCACATCAGCCATTATGTGAAGAATTTTTTTAATTGAGGGCTGTTTTGGTTATGGGTCAGTTACGCAACATTTACGACAATGGTCGCAGTCATAGTCTCCATGAGCGATGGACCAAGACTGCGTGGATCTGAACATGAGGGGCCACAATCTGACGGGGTCTAAATCCAGCAACGAGTGTCACACAGGAAAAGAATGGCACACGTGCCTCGCCAGTGAGTGGGCAAACAGCATAGTGAGCATGAGTGGCATACCCCGGAGGTGACTGCACTGAAGCAGCGGGTGTAAGTGGGTCTATTATACTCACCCGTGAGATAGTGAGGGGCAGACAGAAGTCCTTCCCACCTTGCAGTCTGAAGCCCCAGGGGGCAGGGCCAGCCAGGGTGACACTGTAACTGCTCATGATTCACCTGGAGACAGAACAGCACATGGTTTGAGGTTCTATGGTGAAATACAATACAACAGCAGCGTGTAAAGAAAAGAGACAATAATAAAGAATATTGTTAATTTAAGTGAAAAAAAAGCAATTAATCAGTTACAAAACGGATTGTTTGAATCTGCTGGAAAAGCTTCAGCTCAATGACTACAGTATTAGTCGTGACACCAATAGTTTTAAATTGCAAATACACTGAAAGGCAGTGTTGTCCAGGTGGCGCAGCTCTGTGGGAACGAGGGTGACAACAAAGAACGCAAACACAATATTGAATTTTGTGAAGTATGTGGAAATCCTTCCATGGGACCCGGAATTCTTGGAAGCGTCCCTGAATAGGTCTCAACAAAAAAGTGACGTTCTGTGGAGTAAAGGCCTCATCTGTCTACAATACTATCAAACTGAGAATCATTAGGATATTCACCATTCACTAAGGCATTTTAAATATTTAGTTAAAATGTACTCAATTGTTTGTCTTCATCCCTGATGTTAAAATTCCTCCAAACTGCTGACATTGTTGACCTACTTAAATAAACGACCCGTGAGGACAAAGAGACACCGACTGATGTGTAGCTGGTTGTGGTGTAAAGTCCTTTACAAAGTATCGGTCTGCCGGATCGGCACGTTTTCGATCACAGCACAAGTACAGGAATAAAGTATGTATCAGGCCTGATTCTGATGGTATCGGTTCTTCTCTAGTACGTGGTTCTGTGAACAGTACTAATTAATGTCCATTTTTTTGATCAAACAAAACATCACCAAATAAGTCGAGCATTTCTGCTCCACAGCTCACATCAGTGCCATCACGCTGGAGCTATTTAAACTCAAGTACGGCCTTCTGTTAATAGTCTTCTTCTTGAGATGCCGACACCGTGATGACAGCTTTAGTACACATCCTACACAGTAATATTCACACGGTGTACTCGCATGTAAACAGTAAATCATCTGGAGTGTTTACCAGATACTCTGGACAAGCAAACACAGACATAAGAGATAAGTTGTAACGAGGTGTGGACTGCAGGATTTAACACGTACCACGCCGTACAGGAAACCACCATCAACAGAAGGCTGAGTGAAGCTGGTTGAATTAATACAGCTCAATATTAAAATTATTTTAGAATAACTATTTGTGCTGTAATATGAGTAACGTAATCTAGAATGATAAATGTTTCTGGTATAAATACAGCGGTAATGACTTGCCTAACTGTCCCAACACGTTAAAGTGGAAGGCAAAAACACAATATATACTGAACCCCCGCACCCTCAAAAAAATCAGTAAGTAAATAGTTTTCATTTTCACAGTGAGGTTTCTTCTCATGAGTCATCCTGAGCCAGGCTCATCAAATGCAGACAATTCAGAACTTTCTTTTTGGACTGAAGCCTTGTTATAGGTCAGCACACGTGCAGTCATACAGATCATGTTGGACTTTGCACCGACAACCATGGTGATGTGTTGCTGCCCAGCAAACAGTAGGGGCAGAGTAAGGATGATTAACATGCTGACTGTTTGAGACACTTCCAGAGTTTAGCCATTTATTTAGTGAAGAGTTCTATTGTCACTATTTTAAGCTCCAGGACATGGAAGTCCAGTTGACTGTTCCCATCCAACCACATCCCTTCGATAGCTCAGCTGGTAGAGCGGAGGACTGTAGTGGCTACATCGTCATCCTTAGGTCGCTGGTTCAACTCCGGCTCGAAGGAATACACTTTTTTCCCCATGTCTGCAATATCAGGATGTTAAGGTGGAAAATAATCTTAGTTTCTACCATTGCGCAATAATTTCTGCACTGCATGTTTGGAGCATGCTTGAACGTCAATAAGAAAAGGACACGATTGACATTTCAAAGGTCCATCTCTGTCAGAAGATTTCAGTTTAGTGGGTGTAATGTTGCAAACAGAATCTCCTGAGGTCAATGATTAAAGAATTGTATCCTTCGATAGCTCAGCTGGTAGAGCGGAGGACTGTAGTGGTAACATAGTCATCCTTAGGTCGCTGGTTCAACTCCGGCTCGAAGGAAAATATTTTTAAAAAATTTAAATACTGTGTAATCCCAGTGTCTACATGCGAGTGACAAAGCTGTCAAATATCCCTTCAGGGACTCATCACCTAGTCACTTGTTCTAGACACAAATCAAACCCGTGGGTAGGTATGCACGCTATATCCTTGTCACGCCTGCAAGGGAACAGACCATAAAAGTGTGTGAGAAGGTGGGGAGAAGAAACAAAATCACGTGTGATGAACCACCTGAGGGCAAAATGTAATAAAAATTTAAAAAAAAAACCTCTGTTCACTTTTACAATTAGTCACATGCAACAAACAACTTTCTATTAAAATAGTAACCAAATGAAAACAGCTTCCTCATCCCCTCCCCCCTGTTAAAGGTGGCCCCAGGACTTGAACCAAAGGATCAGTTTTTAGGCAACATTTTCCATACATTGCCACAACAAAGTGCAACCTTTGTATTAAATGCCAACTCAACAGCACTGCCTGAGAAACAGCACCGTATTATGACGGTAGTTTACAACATGTTCATAAAACACTTTGAGGTTTCATTGGAGGTGGGAGTGGAGCAGCAGCAACGGAGTCAAGGAAGCTTTTGTCTGTTCCACACGGAAAAAAAAAAAAGGAACACAACCATTACTGTAGACTTTGTTTTCCTACGTAAATACATGCGAGTTATAGGTATATATTTGTATGTGTATGTGCATATTGGCAAAATCCTAAATTTCCTGTAGTTTAGTTTATTTATAAGGGGACAGTGCAATTCCATAAAACAGATGATTACACATGGTTAAAAAAGCCAGAGTTACCCAGAAGCCTAGTTTTCATCTGTAGGGAACTCCCAAAGGGTTTATAAAATTCTATCTATCTAAAAATAACAACAATAACGATACATATCACGACACAGGAGCAACGATACGATATATTGCGATTCTATATGCATAATAATAAACATTGAGTTTTTAAGCAACTTAACTGTAGTAACACTGAAAATATTGAGATATGTATATATGTATGTATATATTTATACATATAAAGATATATATACATGTACAAATATATATCTGTAATTGAGTGACATGGGGCACAACAAACTGTATACCCCAAGGTGCAAACTACCAAATACCCTTAAAAAATACATAGCATTCTATTGTTCTTTCATAATAGTGTTGCTTGTCCACGACACATTCCCGCAGTGTTGGATTTCACAGCTAACCAGGACATCTTGCGTAAGTTGCACAGCATGGTTAAAAACCCAGCTTGTGGAAATTTGACTCACGCCTCCCTCAACCTGCATCGCAACACAATAACAATATTCCTAATAAGGACAAACATTAAAGCTCATCTCGTGTCACTGCTTGCTTTGCAGTCTTCACCAGTATCAAGCGTAGACATGAGCAGACACACCTTTCTGTGAGGTGTTTTTTCTTTTTTTACACAAAAGAAAACAGCTGGCCTTTGCGAAAAACGCGTTATCAGCAGCAACAGAATCAAATCCTGTTCCAAGCTATTTACAGCCCAGACTTTAGTATTTTCCAAGTGGGCCTTATCTGAAAAGTTCCTGTTATAACGATGATGGATTGTGCCAAATACTTCAGCACTTTCACACCAAAAACCAAGATTAAACACAATAATAAGAACTGTACTTCTCATCAGGATTTTACTGGTTCTAACACACACACACGTGCCTGCAGCGAATGGTGAAGTGACGGGCGTTTTAATCTGGTTTTAGATTTAGAATGACCAAATCTGCCACATAAATAAAAGTACCTAGTTAAGTGTGGTAAGTTATTGGTCTCACTCTTCATAATGTCACCTAAACCAGGGGTGTCAAACTCATTTTGGGTCAGGGGACCAGTACAATCATAACATAGTTACCTAATAATAACACAAAGTCTGTCTCTTTCACCCTTTGTTTTCATGCAGAAAAGTACATCGATAAAACATTTCCCCAAACAAGGGGGCCAGATCGAAACCCCAAGTGGGCTGGTTTTGGCCTGTGGGCCGTATGTTTGACAACCATGATCTAAACAGTCCTATAAAAGGTCAACAGAGAGTTCAACACAGAGTGCGTACGTCATGCTTAGTGCTTACATTGCTCAGGAGACAACGGTGACATCATCACCAATAGCACATGTTGACTCACAAAGGGAGGGAGTTTAACAGTCCAGTACTGACGTAGTAAATAGCCGTCTTTAGAAAATGCCACCACCAGTGCACCTAGCTGTCATTACTACAATGAGCGACGAAAGATTTGAAGTTCTCGCTGACGTTAACAGACACTTCATTACTGTCTGTACACAGCAAAAGGTGAAGACATATTTTTAAGGCAGGGTAGTTTCGATTTAAAAAAAAAAACAAAACAAAAAAAACAATACCTGCAGGCCTGTAATTGTTTTCTTGAGGAATAGTTCAGAAGTCTTACATCACTGAAAAACTTTCTACAGAAGGTTTCGGTGTGTTCATCACTCACTGAGTACTGCCAATGAAAACACAGAGCATTGGTATCGCTGTTAACCCTGAAGGTAGCTCTGTTAGCGCTGAAGGTAGCTCTGTTAGCGCTGAAGTTGCCAAAAGTACAAAAAGTACTGCAATTGCTAAGTAGCTAAGTTAAATAAAACGAACAAAAAACAAACAGGTCTAAATAATTAAGTTAGCCTTACAAGCTAAAGGCAAATGGTAATAGTAGATATTGCAATAGCTACCATTATAGATCCATGAACAATCAGTTTCATCAATGGATAAAAGAGATTTTAGAGATTATATGAATCTGATTTTGAAACCAAAATATTTACACACGAGTGTATACTAGCTAGCTAAACACCATTTATGTCAATTGCGTAAAATAATAAAAATACTTTATTTAAATTTTAAAAGTCCATCTGACTGATATATTATTCAATATCTTCATCTTCCTATATATCTTCCTAACCCTAACCCTCCATCTGACTGATATATTATTCAATATATTCATCGAGACAGTCTAGTTATTCAGGCAACTTTACTGTAACTATATTTGGTGAACAATTTCTTTATGAAGAGGTAAATCAAAAAATACTTGTTTGAAAAAAACACCTAAAATTTAAATATATGTAGATAACACTAAGTAATAGTTACAATCCTGCAAAATATATCAGATACTTTATGTTTAAATTCTTGAACCCATTTGTGGGCCACAACCCAGAGTTTGGAAACAGGTAGCCTACAACAACAGATCAACCATCAACACAAATAACGACATCTTAGGCCTGGAGTTTGTTTTAAAAGTCTAAAACTGCACGGTTTGTAACTTTAAATTCACACTGAACCCTGGCTGTAAGACTACACGATGTTGTGGTTTCAGTTGTAGTCATGTCTCTGGAGAATAATTACTTAATTTCTTCACTTGCACCACCCTGTTGTGCTAGTTTCCTCTCATGAAAACTGATGGAACACGATTTGTCTCTGCTTGCCTCAGTGGGTGTGACATGAAACACATGTCGCTCTTTATTTCAGCTTGTTTTATGTTTTATTTTTTCACGGTTCACAGAAAAGTTAAACAAAACTTAAAAGTCACTACGGCCTCAGTCAAACAAGGACAAAGGGACGAACTATTTCCGGCAGGTTTCACTCGAAATTGCACCTTGATATGTGCTTCGCCACAGAGAATTCGCCAAAATGAACAGTGTAAAACTTCACCGAAATGGTGGAATTATTCCTGAAATTCTCCGTCAGGTATTGTGTGTTCGGTGCTGAGCTCACCTTGAGTTAATGGAGCCGGGTCTGAAGTTCGTAGAGAGGGAGAGTGAACGGTGACTGTGCTCCGCCGCTTGTCAGTTTTAAAGTGAAGTGAACTGGACTGAAACTTCCGCATATGAGCCTGGCCGGCGCGCGCGCGTGCATATTTACACACGAGTGTATACTAGCTAGCTAAACACCATTTATGTCAATTGCGTAAAATAATAAAAATACTTTATTTAAATTTTAAAAGTCCATCTGACTGATATATTATTCAATATCTTCATCTTCCTATATATCTTCCTAACCCTAACCCTTATTCAGGCAACTTTACTGTAACTATATTTGGTGAACAATTTCTTTATGAAGAGGTAAATCAAAAAATACTTGTTTGAAAAAAACACCTAAAATTTAAATATATGTAGATAACACTAAGTAATAGTTACAATCCTGCAAAATATATCAGATACTTTATGTTTAAATTCTTGAATCCATTTGTGGGCCACAACCCAGAGTTTGGAAACAGGTAGCCTACAACAACAGATCAACCATCAACACAAATAACGACATCTTAGGCCTGGAGTTTGTTTTAAAAGTCTAAAACTGCACGGTTTGTAACTTTAAATTCACACTGAACCCTGGCTGTAAGACTACACGATGTTGTGGTTTCAGTTGTAGTCATGTCTCTGGAGAATAATTACTTAATTTCTTCACTTGCACCACCCTGTTGTGCTAGTTTCCTCTCATGAAAACTGATGGAACACGATTTGTCTCTGCTTGCCTCAGTGGGTGTGACATGAAACACATGTCGCTCTTTATTTCAGCTTGTTTTATGTTTTATTTTTTCACGGTTCACAGAAAAGTTAAACAAAACTTAAAAGTCACTACGGCCTCAGTCAAACAAGGACAAAGGGACGAACTATTTCCGGCAGGTTTCACTCGAAATTGCACCTTGATATGTGCTTCGCCACAGAGAATTCGCCAAAATGAACAGTGTAAAACTTCACCGAAATGGTGGAATTATTCCTGAAATTCTCCGTCAGGTATTGTGTGTTCGGTGCTGAGCTCACCTTGAGTTAATGGAGCCGGGTCTGAAGTTCGTAGAGAGGGAGAGTGAACGGTGACTGTGCTCCGCCGCTTGTCAGTTTTAAAGTGAAGTGAACTGGACTGAAACTTCCGCATATGAGCCTGGCCGGCGCGCGCGCGTGCACGCGTGTGTATGTGTGTGTGTTTGTGGAAGTGGGAGTGGGAGTGGAGGAGGCTTCAGTCTTAACCGCAGTGTGAAAGGGTTTGCGAGACGAGGGAGGTGAAAGAGAAGGCAGAAGCACCACTGCAGGCAGGGGCTTGTCAAACATGTGCCGGTGCAGGTGAATGGTGGACCGGGGGAACACGTATTCAGACGTCCCGATTTATTAAAAAGTCATTTCCGGGAGATAAAACACAAACACAAACAAACAGATGGAAGATCCAAGTTTCATTACAATGAAATATGAAAATCAGCGGTTCTCAAAGTATGGTTGGTGTCGTGCTGGTGTACTGCAAACTGTGTCTTGGGTTGTAACGTTGGGTTTTACTTGTAGAGACTCGTATTTTTTGGAGGTGGTACACAGTTTAAAAAGTTTTTAAAAACACTGATGTAGACTGTTTTTTTATGTCATTTATTTACTTATGTAGTTAACCACTGTTTTTCCACTTTTTCAATCTTTTAAACTGCCAAGCACAAAACAAAAATCATTACTGTAGACCATATATGTCAAACCCAAGGCCCTCGGGCCGAATATGGCCCATTACATTCTTATATGTGGCCTGCCAGAGCTTGATATGCATAGGGTTGTCTTCAAATAAAGTTAGTTTTTACTAAAGTTTCTGTGTAAAACAGGATGCATGATCAATAATTCACAATTCCAATTCCAGTCAGGCATATATTTACGTACATTTACTATAAACTACATCTCCCATAACACACGTCCATTTGATCACCTTATCCTTCCGAAACACTGAACTGTTCGACACATGCCAACACAGAGTGTGTTTCAAACGCTGGATCTTTGAGTGATTGACTGTGACACCTTTATAAACAGTACATTGTGCAACACTGACATTGTTTTTATCCTTGTTACACTCTGGTGAAAGCTGAGGTGAAGTGGGTTTGTAGTTTGTTTTATGGGCCAGTCTCTGCCCACTGGGACTCTCCTGGACACACTGAGTAAACAGAGTGAAGTCAAACACAGATGAAAACCGATTGGTCTCGTGAGTGAAAGCAGCCAATCAGGAGGCTCTATGTCGTGCAGGCGCTGCATTAACAGGCACACCGGGAAAGTTTCCGTCTCTTTTCCTCTCTGTCGTACGCCAGCTACCGTCAAATGCACACTCTCTCTGCTTCCTGTTTCTGCTAATATTAGCTGGCTGTAGATTCTAGGTAATTTTACAAAATTTGAAACGTTCACTAAAAAAATATTTTGAAATTCCCCCAAATGAATGAATTAGTTGAGTAAACTAAAACAAAATTCAATACTTATAATGATTGCTAAAGGCATGTATTTCAACACTAGAATCTTTTTTTTCCACTTCCAAAAAAGGATTCTCCCTGTTGGACACATGAATCATATGTAAAAAAAAAAAAGAAAAAAGGATATTGTTATTCTATCTTCTGCTGGCCTTTGTAATAGCCCAGTCAAAGACTATAGGACAACTAGCCTTCTTACTATCTTGGGTTTAAAAGTTCAAAAACAAGAACTATTGATGTCGTAGGAGAACAAACTTCTTTTAAATGTACAATTTTTTTTACAGTGGAGTTCAGGGTGTGTGTGTGAAAGAACGAACGTCATGCTCATTTCACATCGTTTCACGAAACAGCAGTGACATCAACAGCCACGGGAGATGTTGACTCACACATGGGAGACGGTTTTCGCAGTACTGTCACAGTATGCAACAGTACGTTGAGTAACTGCCACGCCAAATGAACTTAACTGTCAATACTATAACTGGTGGTGACAAAGGTTTGTTTCTTTTGTCGCCCATAGCAATTTTTGTTTTGTATTAATTTTAAAAATTATAATCTTATTCCTGTAATTATATCATTAAATTGTGTGTCTAAGTAGGAGAACAGATAGATTCACTTTTATATTGTCATTAACACAATTAACATCTTTCAAGGAAGATCTTCAACTAGCAATTGAGAAGTGTTTTTAGGGACATTATAAGTTGACTCATTTGTTTTACGTAGACATTTATTTAAAGTAAAACACAAAGGTGAGAGTGTGAGGATTTGGAAGGAAATTACCTCAAGCATTCAGCTGGTCATGGTCCTGAAGATTGATTTGTCCTCCAATACATCAATGACCTGAAGCATAATTATGAAACTGTTTTCAGAAATGTTATTGATTGTCCTGAAAAAGCCCCAGACATAATGGAAATCTTATAGATTGTGGAGGCTGCTGAGAACCAGTGTTTTGCTAAGAGACCTCTTGGACTTGAATGAACTGAATATCATGAGAGATTTGTTTGGTCCGAGACACTTTAAAGCTAACTAACTAAAACTGGTTTGAAAAGATTCAGATTTTCACATTTCTAGTCCTTTTATTGGTCTTCAAAGATATATTTTTTACTATTTTTTATTATTACTTTTATTAGCTGTATTATATTACTGGAAACACCTTCAGTTCCTTTTTTTTCTAGAGCGGGAGTTACTGGAAACACCTTCAGTTCCTTTTTTTCTGTAGCGGAAGTTCAACGATTCCTGATATTTTTCTGTCACTGCAACAACACCTGGTTTTACGCTAAATGACAGCCTATGCTGATTCTATCTGTAATGTGAAAACCTGTTGGATTCCTTTTTTCTTTATGTCTTATTTAAAGTGACTTTAACAGTTCCTTTAACAGTATTTCATCTACATAGAGATAGTAAAACTGTCATTAGTGTCATTTTGGCAGTACATATTGTGCTTTACTCAAGGAAGTATTTGTGTAATATTTTGAAAGAAGCATCTGAACACGTGGCAGAGACTGATAGGACATTCTTTCTAGTCTCTGTTACAGGTCAGTTAGTTAGCTGTGGTTAACCTTTAAAATCAACGTAGTTCAAGTCTGTAATGGGAGATGAAGATAAAACCATGTGCCTTAAACACGCCTATACCACAATCTTTTTTGTAAAAGTAAAAAATAACAATAATGTGAATAACATTCTTCAGTTTGAGGGCGTGACTCTATCCGAAACACCTGTTTTGCTCCTGTTAAAACAGGTCCAAATGTCTGTTGTTGTTTAAAGTTCAAAATCATAAACTCCAACTTCCCCTTTCTCATTACATGCAATTTTCGTGCGTCGTAATCGCTGCTTTACGGCTTTGTTAATTTATTTGGTTTTAATGTGGTTTTCTAGAACAAGACTCAGCGTTCACGTCCCCCTGTCCCTTGTGCGGTGTCTAATGCCCTCTAGTGGCCAGAAAAGAGATGTGCCCTGCTGTATTCTTTGGATTTAAAGCAGCCATAACAATGGTTAGCCCGAGGATATGAAGAGGATTATGACTAACACGTCCTTTCTCTACAAATGGGCAGGTAAATATATAAACCGCTGTCACTCAACTTGTCCTGTGATCTGTCTAACAAGACGTATATTTATAGCCCGAGGCTGAAAAGCTTTTAGGACGCTAAAACAAGTTCATCAAAATAAAAGTTTTCACTTTAAAACTTAAATATATTGTTTATAAGAACGCTTTGATTCTGAAATGGGAGTATTTCTGTACTATTACAACATAGTATTACAGTATAGTATTATTCAATTTAGTAATACAACACGATAGGGTCAGGGAGAAGATTCCGTGTAATTTTTAAAAGTTAAAAAACTACAGGTGTCTTATACAGTAGTGGTCGCATTCTGAGTAAAATACACATCAACGTGTTATAATCACGTGTCTTTTGTCAATGTAATTTTTAAAAGAACAATTGCACAATATTTTACCATCGGTATTATGATAATTATCGCTGGTCTGGAAACATTACATTATATAGCAGGGTGGACAGTACGGCGGCCATTTTGGATTATCAACACAGGAAACAAACGGAAGAAGTTTTTTTTGTCGTAATAAAACTCAAAGATATTTCATTACATGTCACAATGTAAATGGTGAGATATTAAACCATGACATGCATTTCACCACTAGATGTTGCTAAATCTTACACATAAGATTCAGGCAGGATTACTTTACTTTTACTTTTAATTTGTAATTGTTAACTTGTTGAATGAACATTTGAGTCAAAAGATAGCAGTAGCTATTTTTTATTTAACTCCCTCTCCGCCCTCCACAAAAACAGGTGTCTATGCTTGAAGGCGGCCATTTTGTTAGCCATCAGAGCAAACAACTTTGATTAAAACATCATATTAAACAGAATATATTTTTTAGTGTTGCTTAACTTTACTTATCTTATCCTTGCTCAAAAATTATACTGTAATAATATGTTTTTATGATTATGCTTTTACTGCAAAGATTTAAATGCTGTTTTTATTAAATTAGAGGGAGCTCCTTTTTTATTAAACAGGAGCAGGTCTTTGAGAGTGGCCATTTTGAATCACTTTGTTCTACTGTAGCTTATCTGTTTTGCATGTCATGAAGAACTCATGTTAAACAATGTATTTAAAAACAAAATACTTTTAAAACCAGTGTTGCTTTCATCATCTATCTATCTATCTATCTATCTATCTATCTATCTATCTATCTATCTATCTATCTATCTATCTATCTATCTATCTATCTATCTATCTATTTTTGTTGAATAAACATATAGATCTATTTATTAACAATATAACCAATCACAGTCCTGAGCGACCGGTTGGTGACTCTTTACTGTTTGTGTTGATCCTAACAGATAGGGTTAGGTTTTATGTGTGCCATGTCAATGTGTGGCTTCAGGCCAGGAACCACGGGAGAAAATTGTTCATTTGCTATTGACCTGCTGAAATGTCCTGGAACTTTACGTAAGGCTGCAGCACATGCTCTCAGACAAATTGCTCATTGAGTAAATGATCAAAGACCGTGCAGACACACTTTTCTGGCTGTTTGGAGTTAAAAGAGAATATATTTAGCAACTGTTCTATGGGGTTGTATGAACCCACTGACTACTGGGACAATGAAGCACACAGTTACACCACAGTTACATAATCGTCAGACAGGGCTGTGGTCTGGACGTAATCGTGATGACCTGCTTTAGATCTTTTGTGGCTGTTTTATTGAATGTAATTCTCTCCTTGTCTACCCCACTGTTTAATCTTTATTCACAATGTGAAAGAACTGATGACAATGATGTCTGGTAAAAATGAAAAAAAAGAAAAAACATCAGAAAAGAATAAATAAAATCCAATCCCCATAAGGTGTGTATATTTGCAAAAAATAAAAAAATAGTCCTCTTGTTTCACAGTGCATTTAAATGTACAGGCTGTCATTGCCCCCCTCCTTAAATGTACAGGCTGTCATTGCCCCCCCTCTCCCTATATATATATATATAGCTGTGGTAAATTCATCAATTACCTATAATTTGTATGAGTACTGGCGTAGATGAAATCACCATGAAAAGGTTGGTTAGTGTACAGTGTGTGTTAACCCATACTTGTTATTTAGACAAATAATTTAATGGAATGGAGTGACGTTGGCCAAAGTAGTACAAATTTGAGATAATTGGCCTGTGATTAGAGCAAATCACATGGACTCTATAGCATTCAATTACCCACAGTGGGGTAAAACTGGCTCTTCAATTTGTGTGTGTATGCGTTTTTGTTCTTGTGTGTGAAGTACCCCACCACCACCTGATGACTGCTGATGGGATTTGCCTCCCTAGAAGTCATTGTGCTGTAAAGGATGAACAACTGGTCCAACCAATGACAAATGTACGTAAGATTTGTTGAAAACACTGTTAAAATTGTAAACAGCAAATGTCTCTGCTCTACACCTTCTATTCATTTGCTCTATAATCGATAAAAGACTGCGAATCCTCATCGACATATTCCACTATTTCAGTGCATTACCTTATCCTCAACTGAATAAGCTGATTCACTACAGTCTTCATAGGTCATTCTGTCTGTAATTACTTAATGATGTCACCTCACATGTCCTTTTATAACATATTTCTAACAAAGTGTGTTTCTTTTGTGCACATTGTTGTTTTTATATCCCTTGCCCCTTGTGAATATCTCCTTTACTTTCTGGTCATTTTCCACCGTGAGTCAGAGAGAAGTGAAATTCTCACGGTGCCGTATGTCCTGTATGTTATGGCATATTTGACAATAAAGTTGACTTTGACTTGGAAAAAAAAAAGGATTACAGGGCGTATCTAATGATAAAACGGTATCTGACCAGTCATTGTGTGGAGGTTTTTTCCAAGGACTTTCTTTCTCATAAAAAATATAACACACTCTTCCCGAACAACTACAGTGAATAAAATACTGGATTATATGATGCATATTTACTAAAGTGCCCAAAGTCATCGTACAACACGAGAGTCAACAGCTTACAAAACGTCATCTCGTCACAGGTTCTGTACGGAGCTGTCGCACACAACTGGAATAAAGGGTTCTTCAAACATTCATGTAAACATTTCTCTTTCCTTCTGTACTCCGTCACAAACACACACTCACATTGATAAATAAACATTTCAGCACCCGCTCAGGCTTCAACAATTCCAAGGGCGATCAACACTTCTCTGAGCAGGTGGTGATGTAACCTGGGGTTTGATGCTGGTATTAAAGTGCAGACAGTTGAACATTTTGGTCCCTGCTTTTTGCTTATCCTTCTGGTTTACATCCTCAGTCCAGTTTTCCATGACCTCACCTTTACTTGTCCCAGGTCGAGGGCATGACCTCATCGAGTGACTCAAGCAGTGTGTTGCGTCCCTGTGTTCAGGGAGACCTGCCTTGTGATTGAAGGTCAGCACTACATGTGGAAGGAACAGATGTCAAATAAACAGTTCTTCTGTTTTTTACAAAGTCACTTGATGTTGTGATGATTACGTACCTTATTTTCTGAGGAATTCTGGCTGTGACCCTTCTTTTCTTCGCTCTGTTTACTAATCAATAAGTTCAGCTCCTTTTCCTTTGGAGCTCCAATAGAATAGCTTGATGTTAAACGTCGGCTCTGGTTAATGGGGTCCAGCTCCACGTCACTCCAAATGTGCTGCAAGGTCAGTGCACATGTAGGTTAATTCACATGTAGGTTTCGTAACCACCTTCATTTAAGATGGACAGTCACAAGAAAATGTTTAAAAATATTAGGAAGCTGGAATAATTAAATCAGGACTAACAACCGAATAAGGCTTTTAATTTGATTAATCATGATGTAGCTGTAAATTAATCATGATAAATCATGACTAATCGTGATCATAATTACTCAGAATAAATCAAGATTATTAAAACAAAACTTTTTTTATATATGACTGGATGTTTGTGTTTTACTCTTATTTTTAATTGTGTCTAATACGAATGATGTAATTATTAATATGTAAAAAAATTGATTGATTTGAAAAAATTGAGTCTGAAAACATAAATAAATATGTCAATTTTATGCCTAATCTCATTAAAACCTTACTGCCTGTTTTGTGTGACTGTAATTTGATCAAGATTAGCTACAAGCTAATAGAAATACACACGACTTGGCATAAAGGAGCAAAAGTAGAGCAGAAAGGGTTAAATAGAAGCTAAATTTGGCTGAAATACACAATAAAATATAATAAAAGCCACACCTAAACACATTAACTTAATTAAAAAAAATTAATGGCTTTGATAGAGCTAAGTTATACAGAATCATCCTGTAGCAACATAGTTTAGCACAGGTAGCTAGCTAGCCACATTGCAGCAGTAAGACAAGTACGGTATTAAATATTACTTAAAAACTATAGCATGATATCATATACTGTATTTAAATACTAGAACTGTAAATGGGTATCCTTAACAAAACCCAGCAAATATTTAAAAACAGAAAATATTCAGAAATATTTGTCTAAAATGTCTAAAACAAACTCAAAAGCAAAATCAGAATTTAGCCTAACTTAGCTGTTGTATAACAACAGCAGTGAGTGACAGTCAGCTGATGTTATCACAAGGCCTTGACTGAGACTGAATAAGGTGCTTGAGTTTGCCCTGGAAAAGGTCACCATCAGCTGTGAATAACTTCACTGCTGAAGTTGAACCTTTATTTATTAGGTATAATCCATTTATTTGTAGCTCCTTCTTGCAGCACGAAATGTTAAATCCAAGTGAATCATTTTTGCACAGTGGAAAATTCTGAATCCAAAATAAAAGCACGGCTGTTTACTCAAGAAGATTTAATAAAAAGCTCCTGTAGAAATTCCTCTCCTTAAAAGGACTTTTTGTTTTTATATTCCTGATCGCCGACCACAGATCTTGCTGATGTTTTTGGAAAACAGACTCACTGTGTCTGTCGTAGACATGGAGGAAATTCTGTAAAACTTGGTTTTGGAAACAGACGACTGTCTGCTCAGCACCGAGTCCCTGAAGGACGAATCGCTGTGAGACACGGACATGCGGTTTCCTCTGGACGGCTGCTTCAAGAAATGCAGACAGGGGACTTTTGTTGCGAGGGCGTCCCTGTAGAAATAAGAACCCTGGTCAATGTACGTATATTTTTTTAACGTTGCATAATTGGTTTGAGGCCCTCACCTATAATTTCCATGAGTGATGGCGTAGATGAAAGGATTGTAGATGGCCGACGCCTTCGCTATGACGGCAGGAACAGCCTTGGAGTACGGGTTGAGAATGTTACCATATCTGAAGGTGTGAAGAGAAGATTAGATTTCAGCTCCACAAGTGCATCGTTTGAACAATAGTCAAGGGATCGAGCGATTTCGTGGTTTGAGTGGACGCTGACGTTCACGATTTCACCACCACCACCGTTCCATATTTATTGCATAAGGTTGTCTGACAATATCAGCTGACTGATATTACTGGCTTTACTATATAACTTAGAAGGCAGCTCAAATTCAATGTTTGCAAAATAATTTAATTATAGGTATTTTCTTTTTAGAAATTGTTAATATATGGTTTTTCTTTGTTAGGAATAATTCTAATCATTTCAAGGCAAATAGCTTCACACTTACATCAAAATGGCTAAAAAATAACAAAGAATTTGAAAACTGGCCATTGATGTGGTAACATTAAAGTTTGTGTACTGTAATTAATGAACTCTTCCAGTTCAAAGTGTGTCAAAGATGGTTATAAAATGAACATAAAGACATTGAAAAATATTATTTTTGTTTTTCAACCAGAACCACAAAGAAAACAGCCTTCAAACGTCTAACTCAGTTGGTCGTGGTTATTGACCACAGAGGAATAAGAACAGATTATAAACACATGCACCATTGTCCTGTTTGTTTGTTTGTTTGTTTCATAAAGTTAATTTAACAATATGTTTTTTTCAATTCTACCATGAAATATTCTTTTCAAGCGTGACCTGGTTGTATGGCTGTTTCCTTACATCATGCTATACAAATTCTTTACAAGGTGGAATGTGGGTCATGGCCAGTGTTGGAAATGAAGTCCCCGCCCACGTCATCCAGGTTCTAAGCTGATGCTGTAAGACCATATATTAAAAAGGCAAGGGCGATATCAGAGGTCAAGGAGGTCGTGGCTGCTGTACTGTGTATTTACCCAGCCCAGGCGATGAGAGTGACGCATGCATACGGCGACCAGGAGAGCACGAACACTATAATGACCACAAAGGCGATCTTGGCCAGCTTCCACTCCGTCTTGATGGACTGCTGTCGAACCAGACTGGACTTCCTCACCTGAGAGCCCAACATCCGCACGTCTCTGTCAGAACAGAACAGAACAGAACAGAACAGAGGGCAGGAACGGTCAGTGCACGAGCCTGGGCGGAGTATTCAAATGAGGAAATCCTACAATAATAATGATGTCATCATCAGCATAGATCTACACCAGAGCAGTGGTCTGTAAGGATTCACTGACTGTGTGAAGTCTCCAATTAGGCACTGACAAAGTCCAGTCCATGTGATGCCCAGAACACGTATCCTAGACCAGTGGTTCCCAAACGTTTTTGGCGTCTGCAGTCATGTGATCGCAGTCGTCAATCGCAATGCGCTAGCCAAGATATTTTTATGTGCAGTATTTTAATAAACATATATTATATTCATGTAGTGAAAGAGTACAGTGACTCCATTTGAATTCCAGACGGCCCACTGTGGGGTCATGACCTTAAGGTTGATAAACCCTGACCTAGATATTACGTCACTGTGTCTGACAACAACTACAGTAATCATCATTGATGTTTTTTTTTAAATTTTTAAAAAAAATCTATACAAGGTCAATTAACTGTAGGTGAAATGCAGCCCCAGCCCATCACAGAGTCCATGTTCATGCTGTCCTGCTGTCAACAACAGTCACTCATGACATTATGGCTGAGATTAGCCACAGACCCCTCGTTGATCACTCACCTGCTGGTGTTGCGGATGGCCAGGAACATGCACAGGTAACAGTAGGATATAATTCCCAGAGGAATGAAGAAAACAAAGCAGCACAGCATCAAAGTATAACTCTTATTGGCCGGAGTGGAGGTGACGTAATCCCACGTGCACGACGTCATCAGGCCCTCAGGAATATAAGAGCCTTACGGAAAAGAAACAACAAACAAACAAATGAGGTCATTGAGAGTACGGCTTAATGAAGTATGAAGTACAGTGGAAACCCTAGATACCAGCTTCCCGAAATACGAGTATTCCATGTTACGACTCCGCAGCTATTTCAAGATTTTGTTCCTGATACGAGGAAGTTACCAGTGGTTAACTAAGCTCCGTTTATCCACCCGAATATGAAATCCCGCACATACAGGATCCTACAGATATAATCCTATTCCTACACTAAGTGGTCCTGACACTGTGTGGCGCTGTCTCGCTCACTGTCCCTCTCTGGGCTAGTTTACCAATTTTTATAACAATAATAGAAAATGTTTTCTTAGTAATTATTATTTGTGTTTTTGATGTTCATATGAGGGGGTTTTAATTTAATTAATAGTATATTTCTGGGCTGGAACGAATTAATTGGTTTTTAGTTGTTTTTAATTTGATCTTGATACGAGTGCTGTCGTAGAATGGATTAGACTCGTATCTCGGGGCTCCACTGTGTACAGGAAGCAGATAAATTGTGTACAGCCTACGTAGGTGACTTACTCCAGCCCAAAAGCGGTGCCAGGCTCCAGGCTAGTGAATAGAGCCAGACCAAGGTGATGAAGAGACAAGTGCGTTTCTTCGACGTCCACTGAATGGCCTGCAAAGGTTTGGTGATGACGATGTAGCGTTCAATAGAAATGGCCAGAAGGTTAATCATGGAGGCTATTCCAAACAGAGCTCCACAGAAGGCATACGCTTTACACCCTGTGGAGAAACACCAGGAAAGAATTCAGAACATGGATTCTTATCAAAATACTAGCATCTGCTAAAGGCATAAATGTAAATGTAAACATATTCCATACATGTTTATTAAATCCACGGTGAGTATTTAAAGCAGATTTTAATATTTTTTAACAACAGATTGCCAGTTTAAATTTAACTGCAGCTTTAAGCCCCCCCTCCATGGAATCTGTCAAGAGTGGAGGTGCTAACAAGCTAGGCTAACAAGAATGTCCAGCAGAGTGTAGAGAGAGTATACATACATATATTTTTCATATACAATTAATTAACATACAAATACAGAGTTTTAATCATTATGATATTTGGATCATTTTGATCTAAATGACATCAAAGACATAGATATAAATATTCAAATCACCTGTTTCACCAAAAATCCAGCCTTTGTAAAGAGAGTTGACAAAGAAGATGGGCGACTGTGTGATGGCCATGAGGAAGTCACTGATGGCCAGGTTCATGATGAAGTAGTTTGGAGGCGTCCGCAGGTTCTTGTTACTGCAATACATGATATTTGAAAGTACTTGGATCAATGAGATTGGCATCTAATTTAAAACATCCACAAAAGATTTTTTTTTTAAAAAGAACTCTGTATATATAATGAAGCAGGTCCCTGCTCCAGTGTCCCATCAGTTTGGGGGTCTCCACAGAGTTAAAGACCATCAGATTCAAAGGTCACGACTATCTACTTCCGGGTCACCTGTGTCCTGCAGAACTTCTGTCTGTGTTCGCTGCTTATTTTGCAAATAATCTTCGTGTTTTGGCTGTGATTCTCAAACCACTTCTACTGCTACGACTTCCACTGAACTCTGCGACCGACAAATTCTAGGTCTTCATGCTAATGCTAACACACCTTGACTGGATTACTGTGAACTGAAGACATCTGAGGACTCTGTCCTGTGTGTTCTCCACTGGCATTTATAGTTTGTGACGCCACATGGGAACCACATGTTACACGAGTACTGAAGTGCATTGTTTGTAATTGACAACAGCGCCCCCACATAAAATACTTTCTCCACATTCAGCCACATAATTCAATAATGTGCCTTTTG